CTAATTGAAAACCCAAATGATCTTCGTGCTCTTAAGTTTGTTGAAGTTCAAGACAATGGAGTTCAATATGATGTTCTTGAATTTCATGATAAGAAGATTCAATTTGATTCTCATGAAGATGAAAAAGTTTTTTGCTCGATTGGAGTTCAAACCGATGATATTTTGTGTTCTTGTGTTTCGTTTGAAGGAATGATTCCTTATCGGAAGCCGGTGATCCAAGAAATTCACAAGCATCAAACTCTAAAAGATTTGATTCAAACTCACAAAGCTGAAGTTGTGGAAAGTAGATTTGTTCATGAAATCAAATCTTCAAGATGCAAAAAGATGAGAAAGAAAACGAAGAAGAAGATTAAACGCAAAAACAAGCGGGTTTACTCAAAAAAATCATCAAGTGTTGTTGTGAAGCAAATTTGGGTTCCAAAGCAACAATCTCCAAATTTTGCATTGAATTTGAAGTCAAAACCCAAAAATGTTGGTGGTTCTTATGAAGATGTTCTTGCATCGTTAAAGAACACGAATAACGAGTTGTACATCACGCATCGTGGGTGGTATAATGTTCAAATTGGAGATTTTCTCATTCCAACAAAAGAACCAAGATCTTCTAAATTTGATTCTCGATTCTTCAACAAGGTATCTCAAATTCTCAAATGGATTCCAAAATGTCCATGACTTCGATTCATATTTTTCGTTTTTCATTTTTGATCGATTTGCCTCATTGGATCTAATTCGTTTCAATCCCATAGTTGATCCAATTATTTTTGTTTAGATCAAAATCCCAAAATCAAAATTAGATTTTCACAATTTTTTTATTCTGATTACTGTTCATCCGGTCCAAATAGAAGCCCAAAATACATAATTCTTTTTGTTCAATTTTGTGATCTGGTCAATTTTAAGCCCACGATTCTTTAGATCCGATAATTCTGAGCCCATAAATCAAGGATTGAGCCTAATGATTCAATTAAATCAGTTCGAGACATTCTATTCATTGGTCATCGTTTTTCGTCGTATGCTTAAATGAGTTGTACACTTCACAGATTCTTGACTCTCGTGTTGATCTGTGAGTCCTTGAATCGATTAGAAGTATTTGGTAATCTCAACTTATGAATCGTTCGACATTGTTGCTTGAAAGTAGAACAATATTTCTTGGAGGAACTATTTTTGTCTGATTTTGAATGTTCACATCGAATGTTCTTGAAGACGTACGAAATCGATTTCGATTCTGGTTGAAGGTCATAGGCATCGCAATCTGATTTGTTGATAATCAAAATCGATTTGGGTGATGATATCAATTCTACTTGCTTAATGATTGATTCGATGGCTGATCAATTTTGTTCTTGAAGTTGAATCAAAAAGTCAAACTAAAAGTCAAAATTGATTCTTTAGTCTTCGATCAGTAAAATTTGATTCTAAATTGGTGAATTTTTTATAAGTCGAATTCTTTGAATATGTCTTGAAGTCGAATGGTTTGGAAGTTAGGGCGATTGTGATTTGGATGTCGAATGTGTACTGAAATCGACTTGGGATCGAGTTTGAGTGGTTGATTGTTGAGTCAACTTCGAAGGTTTGGATTGAATTCGATTGTTGATTGAGTAACGAAAACTTGATTGGAAAACTCGACTGGGAAAATTGGATTCGAATGGTTTGATTTGGAGTCAATTGACGAACATGTGGATATCAAGGATAATCTAATGAGGGTCTGTTGAAATTGGAAGTATTGATATATCGAATGGAGTCTAGAAATCGAGTTTGGTTTATTGATTTGGTATCGACTGGGAAGCAAGGGTTAAAAAGTTTTGAAAATTTGATGTTGACTAACGAAGGTTTTGTAGCGACTAAAAATTTTCGTTACCTGGGAAACGAATTGGGGAGGAAGACATAAAAGTTTCGAAAGTGGACCTTAAAATTTCGAAAGTTTGACACTTTAATCCTATATTCGAAAGTTGGACAAAATTTCCAAAGTTTGAAGAAAAGAGACAGAATTTTCGAAATCAGTACCTGCAGATTCGAAAGTTTGGCAGTTTATATCCAACTTCGAAAATGAGGAAATAAAAAACTGAGAATTTGACAGTTTTGGCTTGCCTTCTCCAGAAGTACGATCTGTCATTGATGTAAATGATCGTTTGGTTGAGGACATTGTTTCCAGATTATCAACATCGTAAACATCTTCCAAGTTGTGTTTTTTCTTTATGTCTAAACACTTTTTTAAAGGATGTCCACTTAGTTAGTGGACTTGTTGCAATACTTTTATCAATATTCGAAGCGGGTATGACAGTTATCACCAGTAAACGAAACTGCATCCTAAATATAGAAAATAAATTCATATGTCAATCTAAAAGTTAATAATATTTTAAAGTATTTAAAATATTAGATTTAGTTATATTATATTAAAAACCTTTAAATTTAATGTGTCTTGCCATCCAAATTTCGCCGATAAAACGTTAAACGAATCAGATTACGGCGCCTATATTTGTAGTACATAGAAATATGTTAGTTGATCAACTAAAATATAAAAAACGAATCTAATAAGCTTAGTGTTTGTAGTATGTTTCATAAAAGAATGTTACCTGTTCGATGTTAATTTTTTTTTCCAATTCAACAGTGATTTTATTATCAACATTGAAGTTTGAGATTGCATAACCATCAAATTTGTTCTTCAAATTATAATGAGAAATTTGAATTTTGAACGCCAACTTTTTTATCCAAAAGTAATTTCAAAGCAGACGGATAAATCTTCATATTATCCTCCTAAAAATGAAAAAAATTAACGCTTATAAAAATAGACAGACAAAAAGTAAAAATTAGTTTTATGTAAATGAAGTTATATCGATAACCTCATTAAACTTTTGAAGCAACTATTGTGTGTTTTTTTTCAGAAGTTTCTTTGCGTCGCAATCAAATAACGTAAGTGACACCACGCCGGTAAAGTCTTGTACTATAATGGTGATTTTGAAACTAAAACCATTCATATAAACAAATTCAATAATATAAAATTAGAAAACTAAATCGAAGATTATAATAATATGTATAAAAGAGTTATTGAAAACCTTGGAACAACAGATACGTCTTTGTTCATGCAAGTTGAAGTGTAACAAAAAAAAACTTATTTATCCTGCTTTTGGTCCGTTCCACTAGCTTTGTCATCATGTATTAAAACGACTTTTATCCTTCTCTTGACAAACATAGGTCAACACATTAAAAAATCGATATAAATGGTATAATTTTGTTTCTGTAACTAAATGAATGAAACTAATATGCTTAAAGTAGTCTGATTAATTTTTTTCATGACCTCTCAACAAGAACACAGTAATAACAAATAATAAGAACATAGTAAATGCAAGAAATTGAAGAAGAATAAGGAGAACAGAGTAAAGTAAGAGCTTGGAAAAAAAGAATTGGAGAAGAAGATTGCTCAAGAAGAACACTGTAAATCATAGGACTAAATCCAAAATCTTAAGAATAACCACTTCAGTGTAATCGTATATATAAGGTGTTTTTTAATAAGGAAATCATTATCTTCTAAAAAAATTAGGATCCTAAGATATAATCTTGGAGATTTTCGGCTATTCATCTGGAAAAAAGAAAGATATCAGCTATATTAATTCAAAACTTCAAATTAATTGACTTTCTTATTTAATCAGTTTTAAAATTCAAATAATTATCTCAAATTGATTCATCTTATGTGCGATATAATGGGAGATAAACTATAAATAATATTGACTTTAATTTTGACTCTTAAATATTTTGTTGATTTAATGGGATTAGATTAGATTTTATAGGTTAATAACTTAATTATTGATATGTTTGTTTAATGAGTTTTTTTAAAAAATAATAAATATAAAATAAAATATAAACGGGTTTGAATTTGGAAATAAAAAACTATAAATAAGGGAGTTAAATTAGGAACAATATTAATTAGAGAAACTGATATCATGTATATAAATAGAATGATATGTTTCAATTGATAAAATAATTACTGAATTTAAAGATTCTATAATTATTACAGATTCTATAATTAAATGTAATTGTGTTTGAATTTTATTTGGAGAAGATGATGTCAGCAATTTGATCTAATGGTAGAAAACATACGATTAAAACACAATTAAGGGCCCTGATTGCTTCATTGGTGAATTAAAGGTTATCTTTTAATAATATTTAGTGATGTCGGACATTTGCATTGCTTGCTCCGCCTCATTTGCTCCGCCTTCCTCTGCCATATAATTATTCTCCCCCACTCTTTTTCTCTCTCATTGTTAGTAAATAGAGATGAAATTATGAATAAACTAATAGTTTTTACTACTTCTTTGAATCGTTGTTGATGATAAACAGATGTAGATGGAAAATGCTTAATTTTTGCCTCACTTTTGTTGAATTGAATTGTTATTACACATTGTGTAATTAGAATAACATTCCTTTAGAGAAAAAAATTTGTTATCTATGTCGTATTTTCTATCTCCTGTTTTTGTTTTCTATCTCCTATTTTTGTTTTCATTTACTCGCTCCATGCTATGCATGATGCTATTATTCAAGAACATAATCCACACATAATATAAAAGAAAGATAAATTTACATGGATAATCAAGAGGCATTGATATTGTTATATGAATTATCCACATATAATGAATAAAAAAAAGATAATTTTATATAGATGACATTATAATAAGAGTATAATAACTAATAGATGAAAATAGTAACTTAAAATAATTATAAAAGTTCTTTAAAACATATTTGAACAAATATAATATTTTAATATTTTAAAAGTTTATTTAGGATATATATAATATTTAGATATTAAACCGGATAAATATAATATTTTGGTGTACAATTTATTTATGGTCTATATATAAAATATAACCCATTTTTTTATTTATGATTTAGCGAACAGAATAGTTGATTGCTACAATATTTCATGAAAAAATATCCATGGGCCGAGGAAATTTGTTTGGGTCAACTAATTGGGCCTCCACATTTCACCGAGGCCACTAGGGTTTTGAGTAGATACGAATAGAAGTAATCAGCCTCACCCTTTTAAGCCATTGCCTTGCGAAACCCTAAACTTTCTCTTTGTCACCCAAGAGTTCGACTTCAGAGGCGCAGGAGGATCCTTCTGATCTGCAAACATGGGTAAGTTTTGCCAATGGCCAACTCACATTCATACGTCGGATTTGATACACTGCTTTGTAATCTCCATCTTCGTGCTATCATGATTACGAACATTCAGATGATGTTTCTCTACTGTTGCAGGTATCTCTCGTGATTCGATGCACAAGAGACGTGCCACTGGTGGCAAGAAGAAGGCCTGGAGAAAGAAGCGAAAGTAAGTTTTCCTCTAAATTAACATACGTTTTCTACATTTACTGTATAGTTATGTTATGATTATCCTATTCTAGACAAGTTATATACTAGAAACATCGGTCTTTTTCGCTGTAGACACGATATTTTGCTTTTTATTTCTCTCTTTATTCGTTTGTGTTTACTGATTTCGATCCTGATAATGTGATTGTGAATTTGTGAGTTTGTGATGATAACTTGTACTGATTTTATATTCAAAATCGAACACGATGGATCAATGAATTAAGGAAAGCTATTTGCGCTTGAATATGAACTAATTTTCGATCAACACATGCTATTTCGTAATCTGATTTTTATCAGAATTTATATATATCCTTCTTATTTCAAACCTTCTGTTATGATTCAAATTCAATAACATCCATCAAATCAAACTCTATTAAGTGTTGTTTAACACTTGTTGTTTCTCTTAAAGGTATGAGCTTGGAAGACAGCCTGCAAACACTAAAATATCGAGCAATAAGACAGTTAGAAGGGTGAGAGTTCGTGGTGGAAATGTGAAGTGGCGTGCATTGAGGTTAGATACAGGAAACTACTCATGGGGAAGTGAAGCTGTAACAAGAAAGACACGTATCTTGGATGTGGTTTACAATGCATCAAACAATGAATTGGTGAGGACACAAACACTAGTGAAGAGTGCTATTGTTCAGGTTGATGCTGCACCTTTCAAACAATGGTACCTTCAGCACTATGGAGTTGACATTGGTCGCAAGAAGAAAGCTCCAGCTGCTTCTGCTGCTAAGAAAGAGGGAGAGGTATTATTTTCTTTTCATTTAATTTGTTTATATTACTTGTATTGTGGTTTTGAGATTTTGTAATTTTGATTTAATTGTAGGAAGTAGAAGGTGCTACTGAGGAGACAAAAAAGAGCAATCATGTTGCTAGGAAGATAGAGAAGCGTCAAGAGGAACGCAAACTGGACCCACATGTTGAAGAGCAATTTTCAAGTGGTCGTTTATTGGCTGCTATTTCATCACGCCCTGGCCAATGTGGTCGTGCTGATGGGTATGTTTTTTTTATTATTTTTCTTGAAATAAATATGTTGAGAAATAGAAAAAGGAAGTTAATGAGTGGAATTTTTTTTATGTGTGCAGATATATTTTGGAGGGAAAAGAGCTTGAGTTTTACATGAAGAAACTCCAGAAGAAGAAAGGAAAGGGTGCTGCTTAAATTGTTTTTAATATGCTTATTTTTATTCAGTTTGAGTTTAATAGATTTTTATCTTTCTTTTTTTACCCAGTGAAAGCCATGAAACTGAAATTTTGACGTTTTAAAATGTTGTTTTTGAATATTTAAGTCTATGTAAGATTTACTCTACTTTTTATCGATACCAGTAGTACTATTGATTAAAACACGTAATTATTTTCTGATATTATGCAAAATTAAGCATAAAAAAAGAAATTTAATGTGGTAATCTTCTTGGACAAGTACAATAGAAGGTTTTTACTAGAAATATATTTTTGAGATATTTATTAAAATGGGTTATATAGTCTTGTTGCCTACAAAAAAAGTATTGAAATAAAAAAAATACGAATGAGAAGAAATAGATGTCATCAGTGTCTTGACATATATGTCCGTTTTATTTGCTTAATCCATTAAGTCGACCAATTGTAGATGTTCAGATTAAGTGCTTAACATGTAAAGCGCATTATGTCACTGAAAAACAGCATGAGTCATGGTGGGGTGTTGGATTCACGATTTAAATAAATGAAAAGATGCATATATTGAAAAAGAAGTTGCAGATGGTGTTGAACGAGTTATAAGGGAGGAGGGAGTCGTTTCCACCGAACCCACTGCCATATCACTTTTTCTCTTTTATTTTTCTTCATCATTCCGAACCCACAACACACGGAAATCCTATCTAACATAACACACTCTATTTCTGGGTTCTAGATATCATGCATGTGTTCATGTGCAAAACCCAAGGAAAACTCAAGAACTCAAGGGTGTGTGGGTGTTCCATAAACACACACCCACACATGTGTTTGTGAAGAATAGGGTTGTCGGAAAAATCATGGTGGTCTGAGAAGAAGTCCAAAGATTAAGTTGTCAATGATGCCGGAAACTAGCTAAACCTACAATAGCAGTAATACGGGTGCTCACAGGGACTCCATAAAGCAGCTAAACCTACAATAGTCGGTCGTCATAATGGTGTTTTTTTTGCAATGTTTTAAAAACCAGGTCGAATCGGTTGGACTAGGACTTTGGAAAGAGAGAAGTTCGACTAACACCAGCTTTAAGTCTATTCATGGACTAGAACAAAGCGGTCAGTTTTTACAAAAACTCGGTTCAACCGGTTATATTGAACTGGTTTTGATGAGAAAGTGACAGTTTTAATGAGGATGAAATTGATAGTAAATTGCATTAAGCGACTGTGAGATTGATGCATTTAACACTCCAATGTCTCAATATCCGTGATTTAGTTTGATCTTGATACGTTTGTGTTCATCTAAAACTCTATTTTGTTTAGGTATTATCCTTTGTCTCTTTTTATGTATTTGAATTGATATAAAACTTATGGTTATGTGTTTTTTTAATATATTTGGATTGATCTACTTGTTTTATGTGTTTTAACGTTTGAACTTGTAGACGTCAAATTTTTGGTTGTATATATATGTATGCCAGAAAATAAAAAATACTTGAAATTTCTGGATATGGCAGTGCACCAACGATCGAATTGAGAACTGATAACCTGGTTTAACTAAAAAACTGATATTTAAAACATTGGTTTTTTGAACGGTGTAGAAAAGTTTAATAGTGACATCATACACAAAAAAAAAAAACATAAATGATTAACTTAATGCATAGGGTAAAGTTCATTACCCTTATAAAACATCAACCCTAATTTAATTAAACTATAATTTTATTTTTTAAACATAACTAAAGCTTATTGTTTTTATTATAATGTCACTTGGTTTTCGTAAGCTTTTATTATGTTTAATTTTTTAGTTTTGTAAATAATAAATTATAATAATATAATCAAATAATATATTTAATAGTATTAAAACTATAACTTGTATTTACATACCATACAAAGTATTCATATAAAAATTCATTTCATTCATACAAGCCAACACCAAATATGATCATAGAATGGAATGACCCATTCCATTATCTTTTGCTTATTCAATTACCTTTAGCCATTCCATTCATTTGTCAGTTCATTCCATTCCATCCAACAAATGCATACAATGCAAAATCCAATGGTGTGTGCTTAAGAATGTGGTATTCATATCAAAGGCACAATTTTGATAAGACCTGAAAATTGATACTAAACACAACAAATTACATACACAATTAAAGAAAGGGTATTTTGGTCATTTTCATGCTTCCTATTCCATTTCCTTTGACATGAAGTGAAATTAGTCTTTGTTTGGCTGGGTAGTGAATTTGTCATACCCGTATTTCTTTTTCAACCTATCTCTTACATAATCATTTCGGGCTTTTATTCGAGCTTGTTGAGGGGCAATATGGACATAAGAAAGATACAAACCAACGCCAAAAAGAGATGAACCACCAAGAAACAAACCCACAGTCATCCACAGCTTATTAGGCGTTGAGGGAAAGCACAACACCATATGGCCTTTTATTATACACACTGTAAAAAAAAAAAAAAAAATCAAATTACAACATAACCAACATAAAGATTGTCATATAGTAGCTTTTGGAAATAGCCCTTATAAAGACTTTCTTTAAAGGTTTAGAATTTACAGCAATTATGAAGATAGGAATTTAAGCATATGCAATTAACATCCAAAATGTAGCTCTTTTATTGGTAGGTGAGGAATAACCTAAATAATACGGTTTCAAGGACTTGCAATTACACCCGTGCATGATATGCTGATGAAATTAAAGGCTCTAAATAATGCACATTGACAGACAATATGAAAAGCTTCAGAATACCTAGCTGGCATTTCGTCGAACATGTAATCGGCAATTTGGTTCGACACCCAACATATAAAGATTTACTTAACCTAATCAAGTGAAACATATATGCAGATCCATATCAATGCACATGTATATGCAGATTGAAAGAGGAGAGATCAAATCGACATACCCACTTCGAATGCGTATTTTATTTCTGAATTTGGTCTGGAAGTGGAAGGGCTTTCAGAAATCGTACATATGTCTGGTTCACCTAAACTACGAGGTGCCTAATCGCTAAATGTAAATTCTATATATCAGAATTTAGAAAATGGTCCTCTAACTATTCTAAGTGTTCAATTTTTTATCCGTTAAGTTTTTTCTTTTTTCAAGTTTCTTTTTTGCTAAAACTTTTTGTAACGAGATCATCCATACTTTATTTTAGGGGTGAAATTGGTACGGTACCAATTCATTTTTCCTTAAACCGTGTACCGTACCAATTGTAATTGGTATAAAAAATTTGCTACCGGTACCGTAACGAGTATACTTGGTACCAATATATTTGGTTACCAACAAGTTTGGTCGGTACAAATTGGTAATGATATATACTGACTTCTTTTACTAACTATTGTGTGCAAGAATGCACAGATCTGGACCAACGGATGGAATTAATCAGTGGACATGATTTGAGAGTGTATGATATTACAATAGGATTGCATGTACCATATAATCACACAAATTTTAGCAAAATTGTATTTTGGACAATTAACTATATTTAAAAAAAGAAAATTTCGGATTTTTAGGGATAATTAATTCTCCAAATTTTAAAAATCTGAATTTTTTTAATTAATTCAATTTTAATTTTAACGTAATTTATAAACATAATCGATTTATTCTGTCAGAATATTTTTTTTAGAATGATGTTTTTTAGAATTTTATTCTATTAGAATATTATTGAAGAATAACAAAATTCTTGAATCCGATGTTGAAAAATAACAACATTCTAATATATTCTTATACATCCGAAATTAAATACAATTCATACATATTCTTAAAGACTAAAAGCCTTATACATTTTAATATAATTATACATATTCTAAAAGAATATCAACAAAAATAAATAAAATTCTTAAAAAATAACAATATTCTTAAATTGTGAGTATGATCAAACTTTATTCTTTCTTCAAGTTATTCCTATTAGGTCTTCAACGCATTCTTCCAGCCATCCTATCATAAATACAACAAAAACTAATAATGGTTAAAAACATGTTACTTGCAATTAACTATCACTTTATATATTCTGGTAGAATACATAGAATATGACATAATACATAGAATACATTCTGGCAGAATAAATAGATTTTATTCTGGCAGAATGCATTTATACATTCTATGCTTTAGAATGTTTATACATAAAATACATTATGCTAGAATATACATTCTATGCATTTATACATTTTATGCCCTAATTTTAGGAGCATTTACTATGGCTGCAACATCTGCACCAGGAGGCTTCCCATGGTTTATCCATCTATCCATTGTGAAAAGACATACATACCCTTTACCCATGTTTATGAAAAGACATAAATACCCTTTTCAGATTTAAAAAAAAAAAAAGATAACCTTGGAGGATCAGCCTCAGTAAACTCCAATAGCAGCCCATTTTTCGTGCAGAAATAGATCCTCCTGTATTCACATTTTATAATATGAATTTGATCTAATTAATTTATTGGTTTGAAAATAAAATTATTAGATCTTACTCACTCCGTATTATGTGATATAACACCAGATTTGATGAACATGGTTGTGCTAGAATCTTGAATTGGTGTGTACTCGATCCGTATCGGCTGTGAATTCTCACTTAGTTGCATTGAACCTAGCTCATATATATATATATATATATATATATATATATATATATATATATATATATATATATATATATATATATATATATATATATATAATATGAATTGGTTGATACGATATTACCATGATATTCAAACTTTTGTACCATTACCGTACCAAGATTGTTCAGTTGGTACGGTACTACCAACCGAACATGTTGGCTACCAAATATATTGGTTACCAACTTTCTTGGTTCGGTTGGTAGTATGTTGGTTAGTTTTCTGTGGTACAATTTTGACAGCCCTACTTTATTTTCATTCATGTTGTGATTGTTGTCCCATAAAAAAGGCCATTTGTTTGTATGAACTTTATTAAACGATTAACCGAATATAGATGTGATAAAATAGAGTAGCGGAATAAACATGAGTATACATGAAAAGATTTAACTTTTACTTTTTTTAGTACAAATTAAATGAATCGGGTTGGATTGTTTGTCTGCATTTTCTTTATAAAATTTATAAATTCCTTTATTATGACTAAATAATATATATCATTAGATAATAATCCTATTTCTTTTAAATAAAGCTATATGAGGTGTTTTATGCACATGAATACAATTTTTGCAATTTTCAATTTGTTTGACGTGTTTGACCCATTAGGCTTGTTTCCATTCTAGCTATATTTTATACTTAGTTGATGTAATAAAGATAAATTATGACCACGATCTACTTATTGCTTATAGATTGAAATCATCACATCTTCTACTATTGAAACCCTCTTTCCAGTTCTTTCTTATCCATTTTTCTTCGTCCCAAACTTAGACCATCTGTTATACCTGCAACGACCACGATTTTCATCCACCTCCACGTTACCACCATCTCCATCCACCTTCCTTCCACTTTGAACCTGATATACTCTCCACAGCGAAGAGAGATACCCACATGAGAGAGAAGAAGAAAGAGGAAGATAGAAGAAGACGACTTGATTGGTCGTGGTGGTTTGTGGTCGGAACGAGTGACCACGATCGTTGTACAACGGAGCAGACGGGGTGGTGTGCACGCCCGTGGTTGTGGTTCTAGGTGGCAACGAAGGCTCTCCGTTGAGAGTACACCGGACGACCTTATAGTTCTTCTGTGTTATAGATTTGTGACCATCTTTTAAACAAACGATCGAAGACCTTCTTTAACTCCAATTTCATTCTTGTGTTTTAATCGACCATTAAGTAAAGCAAGTTGGTTTAAAAGCAAGTATCCTAATGTAGAAGAGCTTATATGAATCTAGTATACTTACACAATGATACCACCCTATAATTTAATTTGTTTTTATATACAAGTGATTTCAAATGGAGCCCAACACATCATAAGCCATTTGGCAACACATCACAACCAATCATTTGTTTTTTTATCGTGAAATATTTATTTGTTTTTACGTCTACATGTTTTACAGTTTACAGTGACAGAGAGATAACTAACATCTTTTACTCAGGATAAAGTCTAGGGAACACATTAACACTAAAATGTGCTTCTAGTTATGGAGTATAATGCCCTTCTAAATTAAAGCGTGACCTATAACTCTATAAGTTTTGACCAAAATGTCAAATCTTTTACTAGGGATTAAAAATAATAATAAATGATTTTCAGTGGGTGAAAATTGTAAATAAGAAATAGTCAATAGACTGTTTCTGTAATTCACCCTAAAAAGATAGAAACTAGTCTATGAGGCTGTTGATGATACCAAACTTTGGTATATGCAGTCATCCATTTCGTCCATAGCCGCACACCGGAGCTCGCGGAACCCAAATCGGGGGAAACCAATCGCCGCCGACCAGCAACATTTTCCGGTCAGTATTCTTCTTTAAGCCTGGCCCTCTTTTAACATTGATGAACACAATAACTGCATGTAGGTTCTTTGTTTTTTTGGGTCATATTAATTTGTTTTTAGGAAGAATTGAATGCTAAAATAGTATATCGGATGAATTTTGGCATTGCTTTATGAACTAGAATATAAAGTTTGTTTCTTGATTTACTTGTTGCTTAACAGTTATACATTAATCAAAACACTTGGTTTCTTTGTGCTTTTGCTGTTTTTTGACGAGTCGTGGAATCCATTCCCTAGTGTAAACCCTTGTTTGAAGTTCTTTTAGTATTAATGATAACCACCAACTGTTAGTCGATTTGTAGTAGTAAGTAAGACTTTGTTTTGATATGATGATTAATGAACACCAACTGTTCGATGAAACTCCCCAATGAAAGTATAAAGCTTTACACACAGTATTTATATTCATTTTAGCTCTTTTAGTATTTGGGGCTTATATGGTACATGTTGTACTTCAATCCATTTACTTATAAACAGGTTAAATTTGAAGTCAATCATGTAAAAAAAACGTTTTCGTTGATGCATTTATGCATTCCCATACAATGAAAACCAATCTCATAAAATTAAGTAGCACATATAAAAATCACAACATTCTAAAACACATGTAAGTAAACGTCCTTTTTGGTTTTCTTGAAATTTTGATCCAAGATTGCATCTTGGTTCACTAGTAATCATTACAAAATACAGATAAGATCAAGTTTAGTCCACACATTGTCAGTATTTTAGATATTTGGCTACAAATTAATAGCTTTTTGTGCATTAAAACAGCTTTCATGGCCTTTGTGTTTGTGAACACATTTGGAGAAGATATTGCAAGTTCATTGTAGCACAATTGGTCTAATATTTGTTGGAGCATTGAAACAAACAATGCTCACGAATCACAAGTTGTTTGTCCATCTGAATGGGTAAGTTCTGATTTGTATGAAAGCGCATTTGGGATTGGTCTATTAGAGTAAGGGTATTTTGGGAATATAATTTGGTGTATTTGTTCAGGGGTATTAGGTTACCGGTTACTGTGCAAGGGGCTTCAAGAAGGGTTATCTCTTTATCTTCTTCAGATATGCAGGCAACCAGGTATGCATTTGATGGAACATTTTTTTTATCCATTTTCTTGAACATTTTTTTTGTATTAATGTATTGAAATTTGGACAATGTTTAACCTGCTTGATTTTTATCTAGATTTTAAAATGTGGTCTATCTGACTTGTTATTAGTGAAATATAAACCCAAACTTTGATCAAGTTTCGTATAAATTAATTGAAATTGTCCTCTAGTATATTTTATATATATTGTAATCTATCTCTTTACGTGTGCAAAAAGTCAACAGGAAGACGAAAATACCCCTAACTCCAAACAACTATCTTCCGTGGCAGGTATTCCTTTATTTCACATTTGTAGTAATTTGACCCACTGTCACACCTTCATTTCGTCTTATACCATATAAACAAAAATATTCAACAAAAAAACCTCAGATAATTACATTGCATTACACTATGTTATGTTTTGTTTATTTTAAAGAATTTAATTTGATGTTATATTGTATTGTAGGAGGCATAGTAGCATTGGGAAAGTTTGATGCACTACACATAGGTCATCGTGAGCTTGCTATCCAAGCATCAAAGGCAGGCACTCCATTCCTTCTATCATTTACTGGAATGGCTGAAGTTCTTGGCTGGGAACCTAGGTATAGGATGTGAAGGGTATTTATGTCTTTTTCTTTTTTTTGCACATATGAGATTAGATGCTAGTCCCTTTCCCATTTTTTTGCATCTTTTTGGGCGGGACAAAGCTTTTATTCTCATTGACATCAGTCTAAGTCTCAGTCCAAATGTACACCAAATACAGTACAAGTATTGTGTAATCAATGGGGCCCACCACGAATTGTGTTGTTTGTGTTGTGGTATAAAGTTTGAAATTTGAAGTGATTGAACAGGGCTCCTGTGGTTGCTAAATGTGACCGTGAACGTGTGCTTTCATCTTGGTCTGCTTGTTGTGGAGAAGTGGTCCCCACAGAGCTCGAAATTGAATTCTCTAAAGTTCGCAATTTGACCCCACGTCAGTTTGTGGAGAAGTTATCCAAAGAGCTTGGTGTTCGTGGTGTTGTGGCAGGTAGAACAAATTTGACCTCATTTCTTCAAGGGCGACATCATTATTTTCTCACATATTTTCTAAACTAATTATATATATATATATATATATATATATATATATATATATATATTTTTTACATAATGTGGTAGGCAAAAACTACAGGTTTGGTTATAGAGCTTCAGGTGATGCATCCGAACTATCAAGATTATGTGAAGAGTATGGTCTAGAGGCATACATTATAAACCCCGTGATGGACAAAAAACAAAGCATATTAGCCACAGGATTCAACGATGCGAAAGAAAGAGGACAGGTGTCATCTACACGTGTTCGTTATGCACTTTCAGAGGGAGACATGGGATATGTCTCGGAGCTTCTCGGTCGCCACCATCGTCTGATATTGATGCTGAATGATGAATCATTCAGCATCAAAACCACAAGCAGGATTTCGTATCCGAAATCCTGCTTGTTAAATCTTCCACCCAAAGAGGGTGTATATGAAAATTGTCGTATCATATCCAAAGAAAATGTTGTACCTTGTAGAGTAGTTGTTGATACGACAAATATTCATTTAGAGTTGGTAGAGATAGACCCTATTTGTATTCAAGAGTCTAGATACCTAAATATTGAGTTTGGTGCCTAGATTTTGTACTTTTAACTAAGAAATTAATTATAGATTACATGAAGTGATAATATTTGTTTATTAGTACATCAATAGAAAGATATGGAAATGGAACAAAGAAGCATTATCCACATAAGAGCTTTACGTGATGCTGATGACTCATTGACAATAGGCGAATGTGGTTTGTTTGTGGAAGTGATAGGTGCATCCGCCAGGTCAGCATCAGTCAGTATCGGATTTGGAGATCCAACTGGCGGCATTGCCCCAGGTGCCATGAAATGGACCAATTCGCCAGGCTCTATAGAGTGTGCATAATTTGGGATATCTTTGAAATGTAAACATTTGCTCCCTGTAGTTTTCCAAAAAAAAAAAAAAAAGATTATGAAAGCCTAAGTAAGTAAAATAACATCAAATGAGCAAACTTACTTCTGTATTTGGAGGTGGTAGCTGGAAAACCAGTAATAACACCATCAACACCAGCTCCCTCTACATATGTGGCTAATTCAACATAAGGATCTGAAAATACATCCCATGGTTGTGATACGAATTCATTACTCATTATTTGGACATATACAGAGAGGTTAAACGCTTGCAACTTTGGCACAACTTGAGTTCGATTAATAAGAAATCCGTTCGATTTAGGGTACACAGATTGCTTCCCGATGATAACTGAATTAGCTGTATGACTAATTTCTGAAATGGTTGAGTTTTCAGCATCACGGATGTTTTCATTAACCTCATAAACAAGCTCAAGCCTTTTGTTTTTGTTTGTTTCCTTGAATGATTTCAGAACTTTCATCTCAGAAGATTGGATTAATAACTTTTTCTTCTGGTAACTAGATTTGTTTAAAACGTCCATCACAACATCTGTTACGTTTAATCCATGATTTGTTGCTAGGTAGGCTGCATTCTGGGAGTTTTTGTAACAAAAAATAATGTCAGTTATTAGAAATTATGAAATAGATAAATTTTGAGGAAAATAGAGAATGAATCACACCTTTATGTTGATTAGGACACCGGATACAGAAGTAGCATTATTTGCAAAGTCCAAAAACTCAGACAATGTCATCAAGTTTCCATCATTTTTGAACTTGGGGTTACGAAACAATGTCTCATTTGCAAATGGGTTGAACATTGCAGCTAAAACATATATATATAAGAGACAACCAAAACTATAAATGTTGATTTTATGTATCTTTTCCTATTATTGATGAATAGAAAAATACAATACTTACGTCTTAAGCTCTTAATCTGGCTCCATGTGAGGCTGAATGTATATATTCCATTTCCAGATTGAAGCTCAGGAACACTGGATGAAAGGTTGCCAAAATCTGACTCAGCAACTGTTGTCCTTTCAAGAAGGTTTATGTCACCTAAGCAAAAAGCTACTCCATCACTTGTCATCTGAACAGGACAATCGATTATATCTACACCATCTGAAACAGCTTTTCTGTATGCTGAATCACTACACCCTGGAAACTCCCCACTTGCTCCTTCAAATGAGATAATTAAAGGCTTTCCTGAAGAATGTTTTTTCCCAATATGAGAAAAACAACCTGCATGGTTGTAGAATGTTATTTCTTGCATTCAACCTTTTTCAATATATGCATGAATCATGAGATTTAAAAGGTTCAAAACTTACTAAAAGCTGCTGATGGAGTCACTGGATTGTCGGAAAGAACACCATCTACAGAGAATCTGCCATTATCCACAAAATACAAATACTCTTCTACAGGGTCATAACTGTAATTATACGCAAGTTGCACATCATTCATGAAATCTGAACCAAATACTTGTAAACCCTCTTTGTGGGCATCCAAGACCAATGAGGTAGATGGTTGTAAATACAAGTCATTATCCACAGGCCATATGTATGATTTAGGAACTAAAACACCAGAAGCAAATGTGTTGATAAATGTCAGATTTTTTAAAAGTGAACCATATGTTTGATTGGTTGAGGGCTCAGTCTTGTTCACTTCTAGAAATCTGAAAATTAGTTTTGTGGTGGTTGATTTGAATGTTGTCATGATACTTTTCAGAAATTCCACCTCTGGTGATGATATATATTTAACAAGATTTCTTTTAGAAGCATCAATCACAAAATTTCTCATACTCAAATTGTGTTGCCTGAAAAATGCATCATGCTGCAAAAGTATAAACAGAAGGGAGGTTAGCAAACATAATTTGTTGCCTATGCCATTAGCAATTTCTATTAATCTACAAAGTAATAATCACCTGGATATTCAACCATAATCTTCCCTGATTCGCAGCATCATCTACAGTAAGGATGGGAAACAAGCCATCATAGTATGGTGTTCGGGACAAGATGTTCTGTGTTACTGTTCATTGCACAAAAGGAATCATCATGAGTTTATTCATGAAATCATAAAGTTGCAGATATCAGACACATAAAAAGGGAATCTTGTGTAGTTCAATGCATGAAAATTTAACTTACAGAAGACATTTTTTTGTAGATCATCGAGTGAGAAGTCAACAGGAAACCATCCTGTTGTGGGTACTCCATTGACAGGGTATGTCTGGGATCTGTTACCAAAGACTTGGCTAATGGTGGAAGCATTATTAAGATCAAGGTCCGGAAAGCAGATCCCAGCTGCATCTCTAGTTAACTGCACATCGCACCAGAAGATCACATCGGGAACACTAAATATCTTCGCCAATTCGTAAGCATCTACACTCGAGTCAGGAAATACTCCTGAAAACCCACCACGTGCTATGACTAAAGGGCGTTCTCCTGAAAAGGTAGGGAAGCAGAGTTGAAGAACATGCAATAAAAATACGCACAAATGACGAAACTTAGTCAATTTGACCATTTAGGTGTTGATTGATGCAGCAATAATTTATAATTACACACCCTAACTCATCTAATCTTCTAATAATTACTTCGTACGATGAGTTGATTAAAACCACTAAAATCATCTAAGCAATCCTCCAAATGATTATTTTACCTAGACGTTCAAAACTGTTCGTAGTTGAAGCACACATCCAAAAATGCCCTTAGAAGAGCACAAGTTCGCAACTGATTTCCATAAATTTAACCAATGATGTTGCCTTATTTATTTCGATCTCTATCTTAGAACTGAAACGCATTATTACAATGTATCTCCAATTTTACATTCGAAATTTTGAAATTAAATTCTGAAAATTAAACTTAACATGCAATCAAATAAATGAAACACGAACAATGATAGAAAATGAGAATCGCATAGAAGTGATTGCAATAATACTATACCGTTTAACGTATTCCATTTACTAGTTCTGTTACTAGATCCCCGGGCATCCGTCAACGATACCGAACACACAAATAGCAGTATATTAAGTAGCCACCGGAGTTTCCACATTGCCAGCATCTCTACACCGGAGGTTAACTGAACTTCGGCGACTTCTTGCTTTATCGGGAACGCTGAGAAAGTAAGAATCGAAGTTTCCAGGTGGTGAGAGAAGGAAGAGGACTAGAGGAAGGAGAATAGACAGGAGTTGATGACGAAGGAGATACAAATTGACGTTGTATTCATGCTAAAAAAAACGCATTAAATTATATAAAATTTAATTTTGGCGTACACAAGCCGAGTTTCACCAGCTCTGTCCTGGCTTGGCTAAGACAACTAGCCGCTAAGCCATGCTATAATAAGAATGCTTATCTACTTTCAATTTCACTATTATTTTCATTATGATTAACAAGAGCAAAAAGAATATTATAATAACCGCTTTTTGGTTAAAAGAAAATTATTAAACATTAATTTCAGATTTTTCACAAACTAACGTATACGCAAAGACCAATGCCACGTATAATGTAATAATTTATCAACTGATTTGTCAAGAATAGCAATAAAGAAAACAATATTTTACGGATTATGTGCAAATCTTGACTTGAGCCAGTGCTTTGGCTAGAGGGTTGACAACTAGAGTACAGCTCAGCAAAGTCTCATAAACTAACGTATACGCAAAGACCAATGCCACGTGGCTTTACATGGTGGCCAGTGGGCCCACAGAATTTGTTCCGGCCCATTTGAGGACCAAAGTTCAGACGCACGCTGCTTAGGAGAAACTTTCTAGTAATGGAAAGTTGTTGGAGGTTATAGTAATTGTCCTTCTATATTTGGAAACTATGCAAATTTCCAATTCTTTTAAAAGTTTACTAAATTCATACTTTTGGTAATAGTTATAAACCTTTTTTAAAGAATAAATGTATGCATCGGGTCAAAACTAGCAAGTGTTGGTGGAACTCATCAATAACTCATACTTAAAATATTTTTGATATATCTTTTACAAAAGCATAATATATTAAACTAAGGGTTTTGTTTGTAATTCTATTAAACTCATGGATTTATCTCGGAAAATAACTTATGAGGGTAATTAACTGTTCATTTGGTCACTTTCTTTTTTTTGTATCTCATTTACCATTGAATTTGTTGTAGGTGTTCATAGAAACCGGCTATTGAAGGTTTCCGACAATTTCTTATCTCCGACGACTCTTCGGTTGTCTTCTCCGGCGAGCCTCCGGCAAAAATGAGTTTTTCCGGTAGACTTTTCTCAACTGCCATCCAAGCGGCACCCACCGTCGGTGCTGCTGCTTAGCTTTCTCCACCCTCCCCTCTCTCCCTCCTATCGATTTGATGCCAGAAAAACGAAGAAGGGACGAGGCAGCAAGCCACATGCCACCTCCTATTGCCATCATCGGAACCCACCTGCCACCTCCCTTTTGTTGTCGGTAAACCACCATCGCCACCTCGTGCTGCTTGCTGTTGCTGTCATCCAGCCGAAACCTAAGGATCCGTCGGAAAACTCATTTTTGCTAGAGGCTCGCCGGAGAGTCGTCGGAGATAAGAAATTGCCGGAAACCTTCAATAGTTGGTTTCAATGGTTTCTGTGAACACCTACAACATGTTTAATGGTAAATTAGATAAATAAAAAAGAAAAGTGACCAAATGAATACAAATAATAGTTAATTACCCACATAAGTCATTTTCCCATTTATCTCTGTAAGCTCCCACTTACTTTTTGAACCACGTCCGCATAAGTTTAACAATTTGTGTAAATCAGGCAACGTAAAAGAAAGAAAGAACATTTGGAATAATTAAATGGAAAATATGCTTCCTTTATTACTTTTATAAGTTTTAACAAATGCTTAGGAGATTACCAAATATTATAATATGGGCATGAGATTGTGTCCCGTTCGTATAAAAGTATAAAACTCTAGCTACTTAACGGACGATCGATATCGATCTAATTTAACGCCTATAATAAGTCATTTAGAAAACTCAACTAAAATCCAATTTTAATTTATATATTAAATAAAGAGAAAGTTTTACATAGACGTAGCGGGTAAACGAGCAACAAGTTGTGCCGCAACCCCTTTTTGGATGACAAAACTAATTTTTTTAAAAACAACATCTATTGATCTTAGAGTCATAACATTACTATGCATGACCCGTTGGACTCTATTGAGTAGCTCCACAACTTCTGGCGCAAGGAAACCGAAAGTATCAAATGCAAAGGGTATAAACGTGTGTTGATTTTTCATGCACGCTTTCTCATGTTTTGCCACTTTGTTTGATGCAACTTTTAAAGCAGCTTACCCCACAGTGAAAACCCCACTCCCCAAGCCCACAAGAGGGGAAACCCCTGTTAGATCCATGCATGTATGTTTTCCTCCAACCCATCCAAATACTAAAACATCAGCTGGTTTAAGTGTTGATTTTCCTTCCAATGGGTCAGTCAGAAAATTCACAGGTGCCTCTTTCTTGGCAGAAACCCCAACACGCCTAAATATGTCGAAAAGAACATCCATAACCAGATCGTGTTGGTAATTGTAACCCGGCAGCTCTTTACAATGAACTGCATGCTCCCCAAAAGAGTCCAAGCATGCCTTGCGACAAACAGGTCAAGTATCATCAGCCGGAAATAAAGGGATCAGGCGATACCTGAGGATGACACGATACTCCACTGGCGACATATGCTGGCCAAGACCGTCAATAGGAATAGTCATAAGAAAATCCTAAGCATGTGGGGCCCTTAGACACTCATAAATTGCTTTCTGCCTAATCGTCATGTCGAAGTGAACTTCCATGTCTTGGACAATTTTACTATAAAGGGCACTCGCCAATGAATGTTGGGCTTTTGGAGGGGCGGTGTCCTTATTAGTGAAACTACTAAAATCAAAGCCCGTAATCGTATCACGAAGACATGCCAAAGCACAAACATAATCTGAATTCATACTACATATGCCGCTATTTCGTAAGATGTGGTCTTGTAACACTCACGATTGAGCTCGTGAAGCCACAAAAGCATAGAAAGAAGCCTCTACTGCTGAGTACAACCCCAAACCACTGAGCCTAATTGGTAACGAAGCCAGACACCATTGATGGTCCCCAAAGAACGGACACCCGCAAACCACAATGTCCTCAATCGACCCACGTAACCCTTTATCAAAACGCAAAGCAGCCTCTTCCATGTGAACGAGTTGGCATGTTCTCAGGCCAAAGAAAAGTTTGGCAATGCCCATGCAAGATCGAAGCAAAAGGAGTTCAATCTGGGGGTCATGTAACTGTGGTAGAAGGCGCATCAAATCAACAGCCTTGGCAACCCTCTTCATGGCTAACCCACTAATAAAACCCGCATCTCTAGTAGCAGCTCCCCCAAGAAGCTTCACCCCCACTGACGGTTGCCCAATGTCAGCAGGGAATAAACATGTACGAAGCTTCCTACCATCGCATGAAGGCCAAAATAACTCAGTTTTCTTGATATTCAGCTCAAGCCCCAATCTCGGGCCTACCACCCTAATGATGTCCAAAACTCTGGCCACCTCCTCTGAATCTCCAATGACGGTCCCATCATCGAGGTACCAAGCATGAAGAAGAATCTTGCAATTGTCGCTAATTTGATGTATAAGTGGGTACAATACAAGAGCAAAATGAAGTGGTCACAAAGGTGTCACACCCCAAAACCGAAATGGCGGAACGTTCGGGGGTGGAGAACGTCATGTATAGTATCACAACAATGCATAATAGTAAACAAGCAACAACATCATCCATTGCATTAATAGTAATAATTTTAATACAAGTGTGTTCTGTAGTTTATATGACACCAAAAATGAATGAATCAAAATGAAAGATGAGTCTTGACTGTGCTCCATCTTCTTCAAAAAAAACTTGATCACCGGTACCTGTCTACTGGCGACCTGAGAATACAAGTTATTTTGAAAGCGTAGATCAGCATTTAAGCTGGTGAGTTCATAAATATTTTAGTGTCGTTGTTTGTATAAGTTGAAGAAAGTATTTGTAAATGTTTGATGTAAGAATTTGTAAGTGTTTATCAAAATGTTTGTAAACTTCCTAGAAAATCCTATATTTTCTACTAAAGTGGTCTTCTACCAAGACCCATCTGTTTTCTATGTTTGTTCTTTTGTAAAAGTGTGAGTTTTCCCAAGTGTAACTATCATTAATAAAAATATAGTTTTCCATTACCGTCATGTGAGAAGATAACAATGTGAATGAATATGGGAAATAAAGATGTACTAGTAGTTTTATCTAGGTACTACTAATTGTACTAACTACCCTTAAACTTGTTAGTTTAATTAAGGTAAAATGTGATATGCTTGTATCCATGCTTGATTTGACTTAGTATAACACGACGTTCGAGACATCGAAATGATATGATATTTGTCACCCGTAGACCTGCAGGTCCCACTGTAGCTAGCAGCAAGGTGTGGGATGGTCAATCCCGTATAGATCTATACACAAACTCACGCTCTCCCTCCAGGAGACTCTGGGTACAAAACGTGACACAACAATGTATGTCGAGCCATGAAGTAGTATCTCGCATTAATGTTATAGTATTCCAGTATTATAGTATGTTCTAGTATAGTATCCTCTCTGTCTAGTATGTAGTATGTTCTCTAGTATGCGTTGATTCTCATTATAGTATTCTCTATCTGTTTCTCGTTATAGTACGTATTGTTTCTCGTTATAGTATTCTGACTCTTAGTATGTACTGACTCTTAGTATGTTTCATTGTTCTAGTAATAGTATTAGTGACTTCCTAAACTATATCTATTATAGTTTACTAGCAATGTTGTTGGTATGAATGAACATAATTGAACACCTTTGCTACTCAAGGGATCTGAACTGAATAAAGACTTTTATATCTATATACATATACATAATATATAACTAAGATTCAAACGACCTTCAGACAAACAACCGATACCCTAAGTTCACAACCAAACAAGGAACAGGAAGTAAGGCGAGTTGTCAGTCCTAAGTCCTTTCAGTCCTACTTATATAACTATATCTATGTAGATATGTTTTAGAACAAGTATAAGTTTAAAATAGTTTGATAAAGAGTTTTTGCATATAAATAAGTTCGTTAAAGAGTTTGCATATAAAAGGGTTTGCAAAACGATTTGAAGTAGTTTGTTTGAAAACACAGTTTGAAGTATAAGAAATCCATTGTTTGATAACTATTAATCACAGGCGAATGATATAATAACTATAATGTTTCTACTTATATTCCCCCCCATAAAAGCATTTAAAATCATTTAAAAGGTAAGTTAAAGGGGTATGAACTCACCTGCAGTGAGTGGTATGAATGAAAGATCGGTTTGTAGGATTGCTAAATGCCAAGTGTAGACTTGAGCACAACGGATCCTAATAAGCATATATCGGCACATATATGTATATAATTAGTCCATATACAACTAATCATGCAAGGAAAACACCCTAGGGCTTAGAAAACACTTAGATTTAAGTGCTAGAAGCATCAAAAGTCGTCTGAAATGGGTGTACGGCCGTACAGGGGCGTGTGCGGCCACCTGGTGTGCTGCCCATTGGGTGTGCGACCAGGTGTGTATGGTCATGGAGTGTGCGGTCATGGAGTGTACGGCCGCACACTCCTAGTAAACATGGTCCAAAACGTATTTCCAAGGTCATATCTTGTATCCCCTAAGTGTCTTTGCTCATGTGCTAGCATACAAGTTGAGTTTGAGACCTTAAAGCACTAAGATAAGGG